GTAATGTCATGATTTGTTTGAAAAAGTCAATTCTTTCTAATATGACCACCAAACAGGTTAACTGGAAATGAATGAAGAAGGTGAAAAAAACAGTATTTTTTTTTACGTTTAATTTCATTGAGAAATAATTTACAAATGATAAAATATGACTGTTTTAACAGTTTAATGTGTCCTAACAAAAGTATATACTTGCATAACTGCTCCCTTGATCTAGAAAACATTTCCATAAGTCGAAAAAAGTTTCTCTTGTCCTTTCGTAGTCAACTTCCCCTACCAACACTCCAGGAAATCACTGACATTTTTAAGACAGTCTCTCTCTGTTTTTTAAATTTCCTTCTGAGTTAACCTTATTACTTTATTTTATTTATATACGTTTTTAAGTAAGCTCTATGCTGAATGTAGAATGCGGGGCTTGAATTCACAACCTGGAGATCAAGGGTCACACACTTTACCATCTGACCATCCATGCACCCCTAAGACAATCAAACTCTTTTGAAAAACAGGGACATATCCTTTGAAGAAAATCTACTCTCTAATTTGCCTTTTGAAGGTATATTTGGATTCCCTTTTAGACTGAAAGTCTGGGATGTACCTTATCCCTTTCACTACACCTTGGAACACAACTGTTACATCAAGAAGGTAAGTCAGTCAAATTTAGACAAGAGAATTACTAATTTAACTAGGGTTAGGTAAATTTAAGACTTAGGGGAGGAAAATTAGCCAATTCGATATTAAGACATCTTACCTACTGGCACAGAGATCTTTCTCTTCTTGAAGTTTGGCTTAAACACAAAGCAGCCCTTAAAAAAATAAAAGAAAGGAAGAAAAAAGCATAAAGTCAAAGTATCCAAGGAACAGATAAATCCAATTAACCAAATATTTTATGGATAAGCAGATTTTTTAAAAAGGCATTTCTTTAAAGTGCTGAGAAATTCTCTTTTATCTGAATTACAGCAGGAAAATTCTTTTTTAAAAAAGATTTATTTATTTGTTTCTTTATGGAGCGTGTATGAGTGCAGGAGCAGTGCGGAGGAGCTGAGGGAGAGCCAGAGAGAATCCCAAGCAGCTCCCTGCTGAGTGGAGACCGGAAAGAGGGGCTCAATCCCAGGACCCTGAGATTATGACCTGAGCTGAAATCAAGAATTAGAGGTTTAACCCACTGAGTCACCCAGGTGCCCCTAGCAAGAAAATTCTAAATAAGGGGACTATCCATTTCTTTCTCCTCCTTCCCATGGGATGCTCATCTTTGATTTTACTCTTAGGGAGCTAATCTAACAGACAAAGAAAATATAAGCTGATGAAATTTAAACCCAGAAAGGTTCCATTTTTATAAAACCCAGAGAAGAAAGAACATAAGTATATTAAAACGAGTAACACTCTCTCATTTCAAAAGAAGTATTTATTATTTAATTAAACTTCAAGTATCCATAACGTGGTCAGGACATAGATAATTTGGCTATTGTTTCATCTTATATACCTTCTTTATCTGATAAAAGTCTTATTCATCTGCGCTGGGAAACCTTCCTCAGTTCTCTAGTTAGAATTATTCCTTTCACTAAGATCTCACAATACTTAAAGGCCTTTATTTTGTTTTGTTTTAAATCACTTTCACTGTGTATCAGTTCTTTAAGGGTCTGTCTCACCAAGTAGTTTGTGAGTGCCTTCAGAGCATAGGCTGCATATAATCCATAATTATTTCCTCACTGTCTAGGACAGGCATTAGCATATACATTAGGCAATCAGTATATGGAATGAATGCTTGCCAAGTAATTTTCCTGGTAATCTCCTAGCTACATTTAGCTTCATGTTATTATTTGGCTAGTGATACATAGCCCCCAAGCTACTGGTCCTACATTTATTCTACCAATCCTAAAGCCATGCACCATGTATGGCTTCTTAAAGACTACCATTTTTATGGAAAATGAAAGAAAGAATGAAAAAAATATACCTAGAAAAAGTCATCTCAGGACAGTGCTAAAGAAAGCTAGGCAAATATAAAGTGGCCATTTGGATAACAGGATCCAAAATAAGTTCTGTGCCTTATACTCTTGTATTTGCAACGAGTGAACTATTGAAATACCCATTCACATTTAGAAAAATCTTGTAGTACCACAACAAGCTTGTCATTGACTCCCTTCTATATCCACCTGCAATTCAGTAAAGGAAAAGGAGCTAAGAAGGAGTGAGATATACAAGGGCCCAGAATAGATCCTAAGGTATGGCAGGTAGTAATATGGTTAACCACTTTGAACTGCTGATCAAAATGATGGTATTTGAGAGAGAAGCAGTCTAGGAGGAGAGCTAACAGGTAGAAAATATGACAAGGAAAAGGAAGCTTAGATAGGTTAAAAAAAAAAAAAAAAAAAGCTAGCAGTTCTATGAGCTCCTGAAATAGTCCTTAAAGAATCTTACTGATACAAGTTCCCCTTCATAATCATCTAAATACAAGCATTTCTATTATAATGCCATAAATGCTTTCCTGAACAATATCTCACAATTCTTGCAAGATATACAAAAATATGAACCTTATGCAATGAAAAGGATTAGACAGCAGACCTCTCAAACCTATGGAACTTTACAACCAGCACAAAACAGAAAGAGTACCATTCCTAATAAAAAATACTAGTGTAAGAGAACTGCAACTACCTCCATTTTGACCTAAAACTCTCCAATAATTAAGTTCTTCTTTATAGCTTATCTTTTTTTTTAAGATTTTATTTATTCATTTGAAAGAGAGAACACAAGGAGGGGGGGTGGGAGACAGAGAAGCAGACCCTGTCAGGGAGCCTGACATAGGGGTCAATTCCAGGACCTGGAGACCATGACCTGAGCCAAAGGCAGGTAGGTGGCTAACTATCTGAGCCACCCAGGCACCCCATCCAGCTGATCTCTTAACTCAGGCAAAAGTTCCAGTGGGCACAGCTGCTCCTGATGGTAATGGAAACTAACCACTCAATCAATAAGGTCTGTCCTGAGACAGCAAGACCCCGCCCACGACTGACTCCAAGACAAAGATCAACCTGACCTCTACTGCCCTCCTTTGTCCTACACTTTTCTCACATAAACCTGGAAATATTTTCAGCACTTTGCAGACCATCTTTGAGACTCTAGGCTGCTGTCAGAATTCTCAGTGCTGGCCTCACTGAAACAAATTCCGCTTTCTTTCTTTCTTTTTTTTTTGCTGAGTGAAGCGATAGAACTTTATTAAGTAAAGACACAGAAAAATCTCCCAAGAGTGAGAGGGGTACCAACAGGGTTGCCAACAAGGGCCTTTAGGGTTGGTCTTTCATAAAAAGCTAACCAGGGAACATAAATCTTTTTAAAATCTCTACTGGTAACACCATCAATGGCTTATTTCTTTTTAGGGGTTGGTTATTATTTGTTGGTCACAGGTGATTATCATAAAGCACGCCCGCCCCGCCCCAGCACGTCTAGGTCGGGGTGGTCCTCCACCCCATTCCTTTCTAGTTCCCTACCACTCATTTCTCCGATTTAGGATTTTGTCGGTAGCGAGGGGCTGACAGTGGTCTGTTTGGGACCCTGGAGTCAGGTGCTCTTTCACCCCTGTAACCAGGTTACACAAGCACAGTTAAACCTCTTCTGGCATTTGCACCTAGCATCATAGTCAATATACTATAGACTTAAGCTCTATAGCTTTAAGTTCCCCTTTGATACTAGTCTCAGAAGGCACACCTTCCCATAATTCTAGTTTAATCAGAATTAAAGATCATATCCATGGCAGAGCCCTCTAATCTACTGTTTTAACGTAGGGAGAAATGAGTTTGTAGTTTTTTCATCTACATTCTCAACTTTATCACAGCTTAACTTCAGCGGCTCCTGGCGGCACTCACAGTATTACTAATGGTCTTACTTGGGTCTGTAGCAGCGCTATACAACTGAACTTTTGGTAATGAAGGATAAGTATCATGTCTCTGTACGAATATGGTAGTCACCACCACATGTGGTTATTGAGCACTTGAAATGTGGTAGTAAAACTGAGAATATGAATTTCTTATATAATTTTAATTAAAACTGAAATAGCCACATGTGGCTACTGGCTACTTATATTAGACAATTTTTCTTCTTACCAACCACACTATCACGTCTTCCTGAAAGCCCTGACCATGTAAGGTAGCCCATATAAGGTCTATGTGGTCTCCTCACACACACACACACACAACTTTTTCATTCTCATTTTTCACAAGGTTTCCTCTCTGATTATACTGATATTTCAACTTCTTTGATAGGTCATCTTATTTCTATCCTCTGGGCCAAAGAACATGTCATTCCCTATGCTAGAACAGTCTCCCTACCCCCAATCCTTTGCCGAACTGCTACTTTTTTCAAGTCTCAGCTAAAATGTCCCTTTCTCCAAAAGGCTTTCCCAGACCCCAGGCATTCTGCTAACACTTAACCACAATTTGTTATCATCAGCTCATCTGTGTTTAATGTCTTTTTTGAGCGCAGTCTATTTTGTTTACCACTCTATCTCGTACCTAACGGAATGCTTGCTGCACATTTATAAGAAAGAAAAAGGAAGGGACAGGGGGGCACATCCTCGGGGGATTCGACCTCCACAAACCAGAACTTAAAAGTCCTCCCGGCCAAAACAACTAAGGCTGGTCGGTGTCTTCGCTCCCCGAGCAAAACTGACCTCAACTGCATCTAGAGTAAGGACGATTCGGCTCAGCCCCCCACTCCCTCCACTTGAGCCTGTTCACTGAGGCCTACGTAACCTCTGCTACATCCCTTTTCCAAAAGAGAAAGAGGCGAGAGCCGAGTCTAGTGGGCGTACCTCCTCCCCCACGTACCTTGGACACCGAAGAGGTGGCCATGGTCCCAGCGGCCCGCGGGATTTGCAGCGGCACTCAGGATTTCCCGCGCTCCCTTGCGGCAGCAGGGCAGAGGTTAGTGGCGGGCCACGCGGCTTCCTGATTGGTTGGCAGAATCCTCCGCGTGGGCTTCCGGCGCGCATAGGCGGGGCGTACAGAGGAGGGCGGGGCGAGAATTGGGCCAGGAGGTTGGTGCGAGTTTCGTGGAGGCGGACATGGCTTGTGGCTTCCGCAGGTCCATCGCCTGTCAGGTACGGACCGGGAACTGGCAGAAGGAGCGGAACCCCCACCCCGGGTCAGCCCTCAGTCAGCGAGAGGGGGATTCCACGAAAACCCTATTTCGGTCGCCTTCTGCCTCCTCCCTGGAGCTGCTCGAGCTGTGGAGGCAGACCTGGTGGAGGGTCAGCCATGCAACCCAAATCTGTTTTTCAAGGTGAAAAGTAAATTCTGAAAAGCAGATGTTGCTTTCCTCAGTCCTTTCCACCCCAGAGATTTATAAGCTTGACCCTAGTGGAAAGTCATTGGGCCATGGCTAGAATCCTTTAGAAATTAGTGTTCCTTACAATTAGTGAAATTGCTAATGGATCTTAATCTTCATTCGAAAGGATCTAATTTAAAAACTGGTCATTTGTCTTGCAGTCATTTTGGTCGTCTGTCCTAGCATTATTTTTGGTAACTCCAAAGGCAACGTGAGAGCCTGTTTTTCTTGATTCAGAGTCCTCTATATGAACAGCTCTGTAATAAAAGGAATAAAACACGTCAACATTAGATTTCAGCAAAAACAATTTTTGAAATTCATCGGCCCCTTTTGGAATTTTGCAAAGAAACTTTCTATTGACAAACCCATTTCCTTTTTTACTAATGGACATATTAGTGACGTATTCTGCCTGGTATATAATTTCCCTCAGCTCATTTTTATAGTATTTCTGGACTTCCGTGGGAAAATTCCTCTAACGTGTCTTTGTGCTTATAGTCGTATTGCCCCATCCAATGCCTGCTTCTCAGATACCACCCAGGACCTTCTGATAGGACAAAGCTGAGTTTATGGTTTACTGGGGTAAGAAAGAATACTTCAGCAGAGTGTGGTAGTTTCTGGGAAGTCAATATCAGATTTTTCTTGAGAATCTGAAGTATGGTTTAAGGCTGGTCTTTCGGTGGCCCAGGGTGAGAGGGCAGGGGAGTGGAGGCGATGGCTTGATTACATACTGATCTTCACAGAAGGCAAGGGAGTGCAAAGAATCTTAGGGTACAAACTGTTGGTGCTTTTTCTTGAAGAATTGGTTTTTCAGCAAGTTCTGTAATGAATAATCAAGCTATTTGTCTGGGCAGGAGTTATAATCAAGACCAAGAAACAGTAAAGTCATTCTAATGTAGACAGTAGGCTATATCCAGAGTAGGTAGTTTTGGACCTCAGTGTCCAGCTGTGTTTGGAGGGGGAGAGGTAAGATGGTTCCTTTCTCACCCTATAGGTCAAAATAATGCCAGGACCAGAAACATTTTGTGTTTAGTTTTGCAAAGGCTGTATTCTTCCTTGTAAAGAAGTTAAGTTGGAGAAACAGGAACTGGTATGTAGTGTGTATTTGTGCTAGTTGCTTTACATTCACATTTAAGCCCCATGATGACCCTATGACATAGAAGTATTAACCTTATACAGTTGAACAGACTGAGATCCAGAGATTAAAAACCTACCCAAGGCTAGGTCATGGTCAGTGAATTGAAGAGATGGTTTATGAACAGGGGTCTAACTTCAAAATCAGCCCTTTCCTGTATGCTGTGCTATCAGTTTATGAAGACAAGAAGCATAATCTGATCATTAAACAGAATATAATAGATTTCTCTGGCAACATAAACTAAGCAAATACATATTTCTCCAAACATGGAGTCATTGAAGGATGACCTGAAATGAAGTTAAATAAAAATATGTACAATACATATCTTTATGAATAAGGATCATTTGCTAGTTTAGGAGTGAAGGAATGTATTACATGACATGGCACATTCACTCAGCAAATTTTTACAATGAATCTACATTTTTCTAAGAACTATCATCAGTCCCAAGGTTTAAAGTGAGGAGAATATGGCTTCTGTCCTGGCATGGCTCTGGACTAACTTGTGGAAGCACATGTATAAACAGTTAATTGCAATACAGTCTGTAACCAGTGTATTAGAAATGTGTGAAGTGCTAAGGGAATATGGAGAAGACAGCTTCCAAATGTCAGGGAATGCTTTGTGGAAAAGGTAATATGGGGCCTCAGTCCTGAAGGAAGGACGGATAGAAGTGTGTACCAGTAGTAGGGTGAGAGCTTGGGGTGTGGTAGAGTATTCCGAGAACATCTTATGTGTGGACAACAGACCCGTGAGAGAGCGTGGTGTATGTTCACGGAACCACAGTATTTGTATAGGACTGAAATACAGAGTATGCCTCTTGGGCCTCACTTCAGCAAGTCCTTTGGACTCGTATCTTCAAAATAATATCTTGAATCTTTCCATTCTTTTCCATCCCTGTTGCCCTTTCCTTTCCTCACCCCAAACCCAGCTTCTGTTATCACCTATGTCATTTGCTTATAACAGCATTCTGATGGGTCTGCTTCCATCCTTGCCCTACTTTAAATACATCCTCCTTATAGCAAAAAAAGTGACTTCTCAAATGTAAAATCATGTCACTTATCTATTTAAAACTGCATTGCAAAACTATACCAGAACCTTAACATCTTTCTTTCCAACACCCATTCATACCACCCTATTCTTCCTTTCTGCAAGATCCTAGCCCCACTGTAATTTTGCTTTTCTAACAAAGCAAAGTCTTTCCATTCCCATTGCGTAGATGATTCCCTGTGCCTTAAAGGAAATGATTTTATATCATGACCCTTTGTGCTAGATGGAAGTTTCACAAAACAATACTTATAATGTATGTGCATTCTTTTCTGTACTACATTTTTCAGAAAATCCTGGTTGGGACTCACTGAATTTATTCCCAACTGACAACCTGTAGTTTGAAAGGTGTGTCCTCCCGTTGCTCTCTATCTCAGACCCTTGTTTGCTTCCATCATAGCATCTATAAGAGTTAATAATTATTTCATTTGCTAATTATTATTAGGGAATTAGTTATTTTGTTTTATTTTCCTTGTTTTGGTGTGTTTTCTTTACAGGCTTCATGAAGACAGCATGTTTTATTCACTAGCACAAGCAGAGTGCCTGAAACAAAAGGCTGTTTATACATATTTAAAGAATAAGTCAACTGTTGTGATGTAATATAAAGTTTGCAGCTTCACCAAATGAGTTCACAATTTTAAAGCTGTGAGATAAAAAAAAGTGGAAAGGATTGAAATCCATTTGTGTGACTGACTCACTCTTGGCAGGTTAATTAACCCGTCAGCTATAAAATAATGGTATTGATTCCAAGTTTACAGGATTGTTGCAAGGATTAATGATGATGATGAAGAAAACAATAATAACTATTGTTTGTGGAATATCTCACTTGTACCATGCAGTTTTGCTGAACTTCATGGGGCTATTGATAAGATCTAATGACATGTTAACAGAAAGTGCATAGAATCAAGAACTGTGAGGGGTTTGTGACTTTACCCTACTAGTCTATCACAGTTCTATGGGTGGTGGCAGAAAACGTGAGTTCCCTGGGTGAGAGAAAAGGATTATTCACAGCAATAGTAGTAGACAGAATGTCAGCATTTTCTTATATCGGTTCCCCAGGCCACTCTTCTAACCACAGGGTAATGTGAAGAAGGTCAGATAGATGATATGTACACAGGCCAGGTGCTCTGTCACATAGAAGAGGGATCCTTGAGGCTTTGAGGATGGGTAGTAAGCATGTTTCCCTTTGCTCTAGACTGGGACACTATTTCTGTCTTACAAATCTGTTTGCTATATGAGCATCCTTGAAAAAATTTTATGCCTGCTTACAAGACATGCAGAAACTAGGAATCCCATAGAAATTTGTCTCCTGTCACTTAGGACAGTGGTGTGCACACAAAGTGTTTTGATATTATCATGTTTAATCTTTTCAGTCATCCTATTTGTAGCGTTGTCTCCGTTTCTTAGAGGAGGACACTGACACTCAGGAAGATGAATAACTTACTGAGCAACAAAATTGTCAAGTTGAACTACTAACCCAGCTTTTTTACTCAAAGCTCGAATTCTCTTTATTATGTAGAAAAACCTTTGTAAAATGTTCCCCACTGTATTTGGCTCAGAAACATAATAATGGAATGTAGATTGTTTCTTCAGTTCCTTTTCATTTAGATTTTGATGTTAAGTTTAAAACATCCAGCTGAAGGGCGGAAGTGTGGCTGATTCAGTTGAGCATTGGACTTGATATCAGCTGAGGTCTTGATCTCAGGGTTTTGAGTTCAAGCCCTGTGTTGGGTTCCACACTAGTTGTGTGGAGCCTACTTAAAAAAATAAATAAATCCAGGGAGTTCGTTTTATTTATTTATTTATTTTACTTTTAATTTTGAGTGTCAGAATTACAGAAAAGTTGTGATAATAGTGCAAAGAACTCCATGTACTTTCTTACCCAGAGCCACCAATTATTAACATTTTACCACATTTGCTTCATCATTCTATCTATATATATTTCCTGTATCACTTGAGAGTGGGTTTCATAAAGCATGCTCCTTAACCTGTCAATACCTAATTGTTTACTTCTTTTTTTTTTTTTTAAGATTTTATTTATTATTTATTTGACAGAGGGAGAGAGATCACAAGAAGGCAGAGAGGCAGGCAGAGAGAGAGAGAGGAAAGCAAGCTCCCTGCTAAGCAGAGAGCCCGATGCGGGGCTTGATCCCAGGACCCTGAGACCATCACCTGAGCCGAAGGCAGAGGCTTGACCCACTGAGCCACCCAGGCGCCCTAATCGTTTACTTCTAAGAACAAGGCTTATCTGACCCAGCATGGTATAGTCATTAGATTCACATAATACCATATAATACTTTCATTTAGTGTATACTCCATTCCAGTTTTACTCATTTTTTTTCAGTATTTTTGTCCACTATAGGATCACAAGCTGCGTTTAGTTGTTGTATCTTAAGTGGCCGTAAGCTCTTCTCATTAGTTTATATTTACATAATGTGCTAGAAGAGGTATACTGCTAACTGTCTTACTGAATAGAAGACAGGATTCCTTGACTGCTGATGAGTTCTGTTAGATTTCAGGTGTGGCCTCAAGGAGCAATTAAATTTGATGACCAGTTGTCATCCAGTAAAAGGTGAAATAGTTGTGTGGGGAAGATACT